AGCATGTTCCTCAGTCTGTTGTACCGAAGAAGCGTACTTGAGGGAGACTTGACAAGGCGGTATCGTGCATCGTGCACTCAAAAAACAGGAGAACAGGAGGTCCGCAACTGTCCGTCTGCCTGCTTCACTCGCGTCTCTCGTTTCCATTCCACGTTGGCCACCATCTCTGAAAAGATTGCCTTGATGATGTCTTCGCATGTGTCGAGCTGTTTCGGCTTCTGCTGGGGTCAAATACTGTGATCCGTGCTGGTTTGGACTTAATGTCGAGGACGGCGCCGCACCAGTGCTTTTTGTTGATGTGAATCGGTAGTAGCACGTGAGTGCTGCTCCCCAGGAATGGATCCGAGCCGCGGATGATCTTCTGTTGGCTGTCAGCGTTTTCTGTCCCAGTAGCACCAAGTAAAATTATTGCAACGTGTTCAAACTCTTCTTGAATAGTCGTCATTACGTGCATCATGCAATCGTCGCTGAGCCATAAATCTTCTCTCAAGAGGAGTAACAACTTGTTTGACACCGTTCCGAACGGTGTCAAGCGTGACATTGGTAGGACAATCTGCTTCAGCGCTAGCGTAGCCTTCGCCTTATCTAGGTCCGTATATTTGCAGAGGCCTTCGAGGACGATCCGTCTGCTGAGCGACGTAACAGCCATCCACTCAATGGCATCAGAAACGCCCGTCAGCGATGCCATCATTTGATGATATTCCACCATTACTTGCACTTGCGCTTCGCTGATGACCCCTATCTTGGTAATACGAACACCAACGGGTAGCCCAGGATCTGGTAGCGACTCTCTATAGACTTCCAAAAGTATTTTTCACTTGTGTGTGAACTGCTCAGAAAACACGAGCTTGACGCTGATTAAGGCCTCGTTGGGGGCGATCACCTTCGCTATTATTTGCTTCCTGGGGCCCATCGTCTTAACCTTGAAGTTGGATAGGAAGTCGTGTACCGATTCGTAGCTGTATGCCGACTTGAGCACCCTTGCCGCATTTCTTAGCGTCGTAACCGGTAGCAACGTTCCTTGAACGAGCTGCTTGGCCTCCTTCCGAGCGTTCGTCATACGCATCTTCTTAATTAGCTGCTCCTGATGTTTCCGTACCTTGGGCCGACCTCTGACTTTGGTGCTTTTCGAGACGAAGAACGAGTATTCCTCACTTGAACTGGAGCTAAGTTGCCCGCCCTCTGAGAGCGCTCTTTCACTGGCGTTATCGCCTGTTTCGCTGTGGCAGGATCATTGGCTGACACCGCCTCGTCAGTCAGCCAGCTGCTGGACTCTGTTTGCTCTGAGGTTGCTTCCACAATACTAGTATCTCCGACTGCGTGACTGGAGCCTGCAGCGTGGCTAGATCTACTTGTCATCGCTACTGTGTGATTTGGGTGACCTGAACAAATCGTCACACTGTCAGAGTGACTTAGCGATTAGGTCACAGTGACCGAAAATGTATCACTAGCAAGTCAACGCCAGCTGTACGCTCCTCACTTTTGCTCTTATATTCGAATAAAGTGTCGTCAGCGATTGCAGTTGGAGGGACAGAAGTGTCATCAGAGTTCATTTCTCCATAAGTTGAAAGCGGATCTAGGTTGGAAAGTCGATCGGGCCACACAGAGGCTTGCGAAACGAAAGGTGCGTTTCCAAACCTAACAATAGCTTCAAAGCGCTTCAGGCCTTCCAGCATCTGTACAAACATCGGCGTCCCGTTCCAGCTCATCATGTCAGTGATGCGCGTCGCGATGGTGTGCGACGTCCGGAAATTGTTGGTTCCGCTGAGAACTTTGGGAGACGCCGCTGTCAATCTAGAGTCTCGGACTCGAAACGAATTACCGGCAGCTTCTTCGTCGTCAGCATCTTGATCATCTTCAATCGGAATGTTCAATGGGCACGTCGAACTCCAGCGAGAATGAATGTGCTTTATCGGGATAGGGCTTTCACCGGAAAGCATTCGCCAGTAGATAGCATGTCGGCAGGGTAGAAGTTCGGTCCTTAACTAAAAAAATACACGAACAATGACATGTCTAGAGCTCACAGTCAGTCAGTTCGCATTCATTTCACTCGATAGCAATCTACCAAAATACATACCCTAGTTTGTCAAGGTGGTACTTGCGCTTTGTGTCCACTGCGGAGACCATCTCAATCATGTGGGGTTGGATCTGACGAGCCGTATAATTCGTATTGCGGTCGTTGGCAACTTGGTACTACTTTTCCACCAATTCATACGCATGTTGGCTAGCTTCCTTAGACAATTTGAGCAATTCGGTGTCTGCTCCAGCATAGCGCATGTAGCCGACGTCCGTCATTTTTTCGCGTACTCCATTTCCGGAATAGATTGAAGGAACTGAAGCGTACACACACTCGTCTAACATCATCGAAGGCTTAAGCACGTCCTTCAAATTACCCCACACTGCCTCCAATTTTAAGATGCCGACCAGTCAAATGTTAATACATGTACGTCAACAACGCAAAAGATCGCGTGTGTTCGGACCTGTTGTTTGTAGTGTTCCCCATGTGTGGAACTTCTACGCAGCAAAACCCACTCCACATTTCCCTACAATCGTGCCAGTTGTCGTGGAAGTACTTGAGGAACGGGTGCGTCGACTCTGGGATTTTTTTTAAAGCGTGACCTGCTTTCCGTCAACCACATAGGACAGGTATCTCCACCCCATTTCATATTCCGCCTCCGTCGTCGGGCTAAGCATCATGTGACCAGCATCCTCGATCTTGTCTCGATCCTCGATGTTATACTCCCTCTTTGCAATTTCAATGCGGAGATATATCACCACGTGAAATACACAAAGCAAAATTCGCGCTCCAGGGAAAGCCGATTTCAACAGTGATATCTCCCCAAAGTGTTTGTTGACAGTAATAGCTCGAATTTGATCCCACGTCTAATTAAATGACTTGAAAGAGGTTATTGCATCTGTCAAGCAGTCAGCACTTTCGCTCTCCATAACAGCATGCTGAACGTATTGCCCCTGAAAAATCACACAACGTCACACAACTACAAAATACACAGACAGGCACACATTCACACAGCTGACACAAAGACACATCATCATGTGAATAAGACAACTGTACAACAACGTCCTCGCATTTACCGCCCCTCTCATTTTATTCACACCGCTGGTAAACTGCATATAAACACTCCCTTGCCTGTACACTGTACAACAACGTCCTCGCATTTACCGCCCCTCTTATCTTATTCACACCGCTGGTAAACTGCATATAAACACTCCCTTGCCTGTACACTGTACAACAACGTCCTCGCATTTACCGCCCCTCTTATCTTATTCACACCGCTGGTAAACTGCATATAAACACTCCCTTGCCTGTACACTGTACAACAACGTCCTCGCATTTACCGCCCCTCTTATCTTATTCACACAACGCGCTGCACTTACCCGTAGAGTGTGAGCTAAACCATAGCAGCCGTCTTGCACTACCTTACCATTCTTATCCATCGGCAACTTGTAACGGTGCCACCGCAGACATAACTACACAACACGCCAACACGCCAAATAATACCATCGAGAGGAATTGAACCTCCACTTCCCGAAACCAGGACTCTACCGTTGAGCTACGTTGGTGCTGAAGCGTAGCTGTGAGCCGTGCTGTGTCTTGGTCGGGCGTAGCTTGGTCCCGCACGCTGTTTGATCTTGACCCGGTGAAAGCTTGAATGGGAGCCACGTGTGCGACATACAGAGCGTGCCTGTCGCTCATTGATGTATTTCGGTCAATCACATTAGCCTCGAATTAAGATAAATATTACGGCACACCGTTACAGATTAGAAAGCCCTTTTTAGATCAAGACTTCCTTCGGAGCTAGTTATAAAATGCGGCAGAACGACAGAAAGGCACAATACATGTACATGAACAACGCTTTACACAATTTACTGACGAGTTCGTTCCTTAAAGGCAAAACTTCAGAAAGCGAAGTACTATTATTATATAGTATTATATAATACGTACTTATGGCCAAGTATAATCCGAGTACATGAGTTTTAATAATGTCACCATTTTTTTTAACTCACAGGGTGATTATGGTACGAT